CAAAATTAAAAGTTTTGGTTTTTTTATGTGTGTTGGAAAGACTACCGTCTGAAACCATCAAACGGAAATTTTTAACTCAGTTGGATGTACTGTAGTAAAATTAGCTAATACTGACTTTTGAGTACTATCAACTTACTATCAAGACAAGAGTCAAGGATCATCACATAGATGTTTATCAAGATTATGCTTCAATGAGTCAGAGAATATTTTCGTGCAATATACTAAAAGAGAGAACATCGATAACTGAAATACAATGAGCTACTTAAACTATTACATACCATATTTTTACTGGAGCTTTATGGTTCAACATATGTGAGAAAGATTACAATTTATGAGTTCATATAAGTCGATATTGGACAGCATATTTGCTGCCATTTTTTTTTAAATCAAAAAACATCAAATTGAATTTTTTTTATACATTCTGTTACTTTTTATCCTGTATACAACAGTAAAAAAAGTATTGAAAAAAAACAGTTTATCTTCGAGAGGAAACAGAGTTCACATTTCTCTCTTACATTGTTATTTTTGATGATTTTTCAAAACAAAAACAAACATTTTTCGCGGTTCTCATTGTGATGACACGATCGCACAGCAATATAAATGTGACATTTGAAATTAACATAAAAATCTACATCGAGTTAAATACCTTTTAGCGATGTGTTTTTTCTATAAAAGATTTACCTGTAGTCTCCGCATCACTGTGTTTGATTGAAGTTTAGCCCCATAGTCCCTGGAGGTTAATTTTTCATAGGAAAAAATTTTTCTAAAATGTATTTAACTCAATACAATTTTAGACGCTGATTTCAAATGTTATATTTATATTGCTTTACAATCATATCACGGCAATGAAAACTGCTAAAAATGTTTTATTTCTTTTAAAAATCATCAAAAATAACAATGTAAAAGAGAGAGAGGTGTGAACTCTGTTTCATCTCGAAGGTAAACTTCTTTATTTCAATATTTTTTTACTGTTATATAGAGAATGAAAAGTTACAGAATGTATAAAAAATTTCAATTTGATGTTTTTTGATTTACAAAAAAATGACAGCAAATATACTGTTAAACATCGGCCGTTTTAGACTCATAAATTGTAACATTTCTCACACATGTTGAACCACAAAACCGCAGTAAACATATGGCATATAATAATTCAAATAGCTCATTTTGTGTCATCTATCAATGTTTTCTCTTTTAGTTTATTGCAGGAAAACATTTTCTTACTTCTTGAAGCATAATCCTAATAAACATTTGTGGGACGATTTTTCACTATTGTCTTGATAGTAAGTTGGTAGTACTCAAAAGTCCGTATTAGCTAACTCTACTTTAGTATATCCAAATGAGCTAAACATTTGAGTTTGATGATTTCAGACGATGGTCTTTTGAACGCATATAAAAATCAAAAATTGAAATTTTGATCAATAACTCGTATAATGATGTAACTTCCGATTTTCGTATGAATGCTCTCTTAAGATTGGTAAATAATAGCAATATTCAGCTTTTTTTTAAGGAAACGGATAATAACTGTCCTATCGGATATATACACTTTTTCTTTCTTGGATGACACAAAATATGCATTGATCAGTGTCCATAAATGTCTTGTCAATATCTTGCTTTCCTGTTGAATGAGATTTACTCTTTCAACATTCGCGAATTTTCCTTAATTCTTGCCTTATTTTCTCCCACATCAGCTTGTGGAAAATGCGTTTTAGAAAGTAAATCTTTCCCATGCATAGAATAGACGCTTAATTCGAATTCGAATATAAATAATAAATTAAAGAAAACAGCTTCCATGTTGAAATAGCAAAACACGGCAAAAGAAAAAATCTTTTAAAATAACCACATCCCTCTCACAGCAGCAAAACAAAACAAAAGATAAATCTCATATAAATTATAAATTTATCAATTGAATAGCATACTCCTGTCGAAGCAGCAATAACAAAGCAAGAGATAAAATTTTTATTTGCATTCGAATCACAATTCGAATTGGGACTATTCTCATCACTGTGTACACAGAGACGAGTATGGGTCACAGTTCTTCGGGAGCACTACGGATCTCCGCGCCGCAACGCTGAAATAAAGGATCATCTACGCCGGCAAAACGTATTTTGGCGAGTTGAATACTTCCATGTAGGGATCTCGTGTTAGTATCGCTTAAAAATTCTAATGCTTTTGCAATGGTATTAAAGAGTAAGACTGATGCTTCAGTATTCTTGACATCGGAGTTAATTAACGCAAAAGTGTCAGCGTCAAGTTCGCATTTTTTAAAATTCTAATAGTTTTACGTAATGTAGCTCTTAGAGGTCTGTGAAACATGCTAGCCTTAGCATTCGAGACGCCACAAATAACAACTGACATGCTACAAGCAGTAGCTGGAACGCAAGTAGCATCATCTATGATGCTAGTACCATCGCCTACCTTGCAGATACCATCATCTAGAATGATAGTAGCATGACTTTGGATTCTTCTAGCACCACCTGAGATGTTGGTACCATCGTATCATTTCTGGTAATGTTACTAGCATCATAGTTCGTGCAACTAGTATCACAAGTCCTGCTACTAGCATCCCTGGTGGTCAGTGTAGGATCGCCTTTGTTTACTGTAGCATTTCATGTGTTTTCTCAAGCATCTCAGATGCGAATAGTTAGAATTGGCGTTATAATCGCAATCCAGATTAAGATTTTTATCTTTTGCTTTTTTTGCTGTTTCAACAGGGAAGCCTTTCTTCTTCATTTATTTTTGAAGTTATAATAAGTAGTTAGCTATCCACTATATTCGAACTTGAATTGGGCTGCTCAGGAACCGACTGATACATCGGCACGAGTCATTCTTTCTGTTTTTGATCTTACAACAATCAAGTCAACGTCTTGATTGATCATATCAACGTGTTAATCACTATAGCAATGATACAACAATCATTTAGTTTTGCCGTTGATTTTCACTAGGATCTTACAGATCAAAAACTAACTTAAATGCCATCCGAAACATCTTTGACGTAGTCGGTCGCGAGTTTTCTATTCAATGCAGTGTGTAGCTGCCTATTTATCAGTTTCTTCGCATCTTTATACAGTACGAAGCACCAAATTGATGTGTTTGATCATATCATGCGAACTTTATCAGAGAAATCCATGTCTCGAGATGGTATAAATATTTTGGAATTATTCATATAGGTTTTCGTCAATTTTCAATAAGTACCGCGAATACTTTGTTCTGATGTTTGAAACTTTCATTTTTATCATGATGATGAACTTTGATAAATCGACAAATGGTCATAGCAAAGATTATGTGATAAAAAGCGATTGTTCCCAAAAATTTGAGATTGCTTTACCCATGTGCTGTTGAATTTAATCCTCTCGAAGTTTGCATTAATTACGTACATCATGTTGTGATGATCTCGAGATTGATTGGAGACACACCTTATTCCTATTCCAACACGAATAAAAACTTTCATGCCACGACATGCGAGCTGTAGTCTAAGAGAGAACTCGTATTGCTTGAAAGATCTTTTCAGTTCAATGGATATCAATCGAAAATTCAAGACACGCACTGCATGTTCCACATTGAAATTCTATATATCATTTTAGCTCTCAGTTGTTCGCTTCAATGGAACTCAGCAGGCACGACTGTCGCAGGTGATGGAAATGGTGCCGCTGCTGTTACACTCAATCGGCTCCGCACTCCTAGTGATGTAATTTTGGATTCATCCAATACACTTTATATCGCTGATAGTGGAAATAACAGAGTCCAGAGATGGTTGGCGGGGGCTACCACTGGTTCGACAGTAGCTGGTCAAGCAGGTGGAACCCAGGGAAACGGTTCAAATCAGCTCAATAGCCCTGCGGGTGTCGTTATCGGCTCAAGTGGTAATATCTATGTGGCAGATACCGGTAATAACCGAATTCAATTGTGGTCTTCCGGAGCAGTTCAAGGCACTTCCATTGTCAACACAGGTAGGAGAGTTCGAGGTTCAAATGAGAATCTCGACGATTTCAACCTAAAAGATAGCAGTATTTTTCGTGATTATAATGCATAACTTCAACGTCATCGATGTATCATGAAAAATCGAGGAAGAAATGCAGAAATTGCAGAGTAATTTCGATTAATAGTCAATTTCTAGGTAATGTTTTAGAGGAGGATAATGTGCACAAATGATGATCCTCTATTCTTTGATCGAGAAAACATTTGTCTTGTTTTATTTTTCTGTTAAAGAATACATAATGTACTTCTCTTCAAAAGTCACTTGAAATCAAACTAGCTAAAATAGAGAGTCAAAAAAGATATTTCAGCTAAATAGAAAAGAAGAACTAACGAGGGAACATATTCAACTGTCAAATCACTTTTGGATCGGGCATGTACGCAAACGATAGATCTCAGTGAGTTATTAAATGTCCTAGAATGGTTTGATTTTCCAGCCTTCTGTTGTCGAGTTATGGGCCTTTTACTTGATTTTGACTTAGGGGCGTAAGATTCTTCTGAGTACCTGAATGATCGAATTTTAAACTGAAATTTTGCCCATAGATAAGGTCTTATAAGCACTAGAAACTTCCCAAAGTATGGGCCAGAATGAACGCATCCTTATTGAGATATTGGCTCTTCATGAAAATGTCTCTATTTTGAAACACAGCTCAAAACAGGCGTTTCTTTAAAATATGAATATCTTGGTAAGAATACATTCATTCTGGCTCAAACTTTGTGGAGTTTCTAGTGGTTATAAGACCTTATCTATGGGCAAAATTTCAGTTTAAAATTCGATCATTCAGGTACTCAGAAGAATCTTACGCCCATAAGTCAAAATCAAGTGAAGGGCCCATAACTCGATAACAGAAGGCTGGAAAATCAAACCATTCTAGGGCATTTAATAGCTCACTGAGATCTATCGTTTGCGCACATGCTCGGTCCAAAAGTGATTTGACAGTTGAATATGTTCCCTCGTCAGTTAACGATCTATCTCTGCTCGGGTTTTGTCCAGTGCTCAAAAACATTCTGGATACGCCACTACTCTCTCATGAATAGAAACCATGTTTTGTGAAAGAAATCATTCGAAAAGTTTCATCAAATATTGTTGTGTTTCATTGAAACATGTGCATGTTTTCAGGATTAAGCAGTCCATCTCGTATTACACGTAATGCTAACACGGGCATACTTTATGTCAGTGATAGGGGAGCTCATCGTGTGATACGAATTGATCCAGCCACAAGAACTGTTACTAGAGTTGCTGGTGGTAATACAGGTGGAAATGCCAATACTCAGTTGAACTCTCCAAATGGTATCTATTTCAGTTCAACATCAAATAGTCTAGTGATTGCTAATAGTGGGGCGCACAATATTGTTCGTTGGGTTATAGGAGCCACTACAGGGACAGTTCTTGCTGGTACTACTGGAGTCTCTGGTAATACAGCAACACAACTAAGCAATCCCACTGGTGTAACATTCGATTCCATGGGAAATATGTATGTGGCTGATACGGGAAACCATCGCATACAGTTTTTTAGATCTGGTCAAACAGTTGGTACTACCATTGCCGGAACTGAAACAGCTGGCATTGGTGCCTCCTCATTAAGTTCTCCCTCTGCCGTTAGACTTGACAATCAAGGTAATTTATATGTTGTCGATACAAACAATAATCGCATACAAAGGTTCACATGCATTCAAACTTAAGCTTAGTCGATCTTGGTTGAACTTTGAACAGGTTTCCTTTTTTTTTACTCATTTGTACATACTTTAAACATACTTTGCTTTTAGTTTTCGTATCTATTAGTATAGGAGTCATGACTGATTTGAATCGTAGTTTTTCTCTCATATTATCTCTACTAATATACTAATTCTTTTTTCTTTTCTTAATAAAATATATAGTTTTGGGATGTGGGTAAATGAGTCAAAAACAGAAAGACTTAGTTCTTAAAAAAGAGACACGTTCAATCTGCTAATCCCAACTTTTGTTTCCCAGCAATCGATTCACTTGAAACATAAATAATAATAGAATAATAAATTTGTTTGATTTGATCAGAAATAATTAAACACATGCAGAGTTCAATTTGATGACATGTTTCATGTTATTTTATTGAAATATAAACACTCATTAAGACTCTGTATTACGATTTAAAGCACGAAATACAAAAAAAGAACAAAGTTGAAGAAAAAAATATAGAAGAAAGAGCGTAAGGAGAACGAATCGATTTAAAATTTGGTTACTATGAGTTTCGTATCAAGTATTCTAGTTTGTGTTTAAAATATCCGTATTAAATGTGCCATTTTTAAAAAAATCTCAGGCAACTATTGTGTCTTGCGCTTCTCAAATTCGAACAGACATTGATTCTAAAATCTTGTTCTAAATCAGTTATATTTATTTAATTATCTTTGTTGAATGAAAATATCGTCATTTTGATTCAGTTAACTTTGATTTAGCTATTTTTCTTGAGTCAATGACAAATATTAGTTTTATATCAAACTGACATTAAATCATATTTATTCAATCTAAAACGCAAAATTTCAAAATTCTTTTTCGTTTATTTATGTATTACCATGCTATACATATTGATATAACCGCTGAAACAGTACCTCGATGCCGAACAAAAACTGAATCAATTAGAAATCGCCAATGAACTTCCAACAAGGAAAATAGTTGTTGGTATATCATCAAATAAAGGTATACGACGAAAACAAAAATAATTTTTTTCTACAATGTTTTGTTCTATGTTTCGTTTCATTTACTCAATAATTTATTGTTAGTGAAAAAAATTAATTTTTTTAAATAAAATAAAATTGATTGATGTTGGGAAAATTAGTTTTATTAAATCAGAAAATAATTGAAGATATATATTTGCTATCAATACAGATGCTCATATATCATTTTAACTTCATCATTGACGTTCATCAGATGAAAATGGTGAAGAAAACGTAGAGGAAGAGAAAAAAGATAAGGATGCATGCGTGGGTATGATGACGAGAACATCCGCCCACACCCAAGATAGTTCAGGGTTTGTATCGTACAGACACGAAAACAAACTGTTTGTGACGATAGAGTTTGGATTTCATTAGTTTAAACTGAAGCGCGAGTTGATGCATCCGTTACACCGACTCCAGTCGCCTGAATGTGAATCCAATTACATTTATTTGTTTGAACAAATTCAAATTTCTTTACTAATCCAAGTGAAGGTTCATCATCGTAAGCTATATAAGTAAAAACTTGATCTTGTATCTTGAATGCTTCAGATACCAGAAGAACGTTAATAATAAATGGAAGTCCGAGTCGGCGCGCATCAAACAATGTCAACGCCATGTCGAGGAAACCATCGTAATACATGATCTGCCAACTGACAAGTTCTCCATCTCAATCAGCACCTGATCAAACGAAGCTATTATAGATATCTTCTTCGTTAAACTTTCTTTATAGACTCATCCATCGTTGAAAGATGTTCTATACAAAAACGAATTTGTGCTGATAAATAGAGATCCATCACCTTATAATTGCATACAAGAAATATTTGTTTAACATCTTCTACTGACAATTGCTTGAATTCGAGACCTGTCTGTTTTTAAAAACAACTCGATATTAGTACAATCAAAAGAGTCAAACCTAGAAGTGTCAGTATAATGGCCTTCTTAGCGTTTTCTAGCATTGAGGTAGTCAAGTATCAATTATGTCTAAATATAGGACAGAGCACGATATGATGCCTAACATTCAATTTCGGACGACTCCTCGTCAGTGCAATATATCTTCGTATAATTTTCAGTCTCAATAAATCTTAGCAAATTCTGTCTGAACCTATAGTGAGTACTTCCATTCTCTCTGTAGGCCTGAGACTCTGATCATGCTCCTGAGCACTGGCTCTAGGAACCATCAAAATTTCGAGTAGGATGTGAATGTCAGCTCAGAATGAAGAGAACAAGTGCACCCACATCTACAACCGGGCTGCATGCCTTGACAAGAAAGAATAAAAATTTTTTAAGAGAAATGCTACAGGCATTCAAGTCACAACTTTTCACAGTCCTCTTAGTTGTTAGTGTTTGCTTGCTTCTGTTTGTATTATTTCTTTTCCTTCTCTTCCACTTTCGTTGTCGTACTGGCTGTTTTTCGATTCATCCATTGGCTACTTCTCATTTGCGATCAAAAAATAAGAATTTCAGCTTGTGTTTATTTTTAATTATATTAATAATACAATTAAAGCCAAAGAGGATGTGTCCTGTTCAAATTATTGATGAAGTTAGAGGTACATTTATAGTTTTGCACATAATATACAGCTGTATATGCCTACGATACCATGCTCATTTCATCTTCAATTGGATTTGTTCAAAATCATGCTATAGATGTATAGATAATAAAAGATGGATTCTTCTCTCATGAGCCATTTTTCAATTTAAACTTAGAAAGTTACATTTGATAAATATTGATTCGATAGTCGAACAAATATCGTGACCACTTCATTGTACACTGCAACATATCACATTAAGAAACTGTGAATATACACAATATAATTAAATATACTAGAGGATACTACTCATCTAAGTACCATCGATAACAAGATTACTCGTTGACCACATCACTTTTATTTACTTCTCTCCTTCTATTCTTGTCTGCCTTTACATTCCTCGTTCTGCCATGTATTCATCTATGATGAGACTGGAACCATTATCTACCAAATAGTTAAACCAAAAACCTACATTACATTCTCTTTCACAATAAAGTAGATTATTGTGGAAAACGTAAATTAAATCACATTTTCTGACAGAATTTCTGTTATGACGAAATTTGCTTTTATCTGTTCTTACGTTGCAATCTTGAAATCTGCAGAGTCAAGATGGGTCATATCATGTTATTACACAAGAAAAAAAAAACATGTGTATAATATATGAAATACAGAAGAATGAATTTTGTGTAATATATTATTAATATTCTTACTCGTGGTGTGTGCAAATCGGTGAGTTATGATGAATAATTATACATTTTACATGTTTCATTATAAACTTACAATTTTTCATAAGACCAATTACTGTGCAAAATTTGATAATCTTCACTTAGTCATTTGCATTCGATGATATCTAGTCATGATCTTTTTAATTGTTCTGAAATTAGCAATAGTGTACATTGTTAACAGGAAAATTTAATTTCAAAAATGCTAAATATTTAACACATTTTTGAATATGATTTATTGTAGTAGCTTTTAAAAATAATAAAATAGTTTATGAGATGTTGCCATTCAATATTATAATGCAACCTTCTAATTTATATCACAATACAATAAGCAATAGATGCGATATTTCTAACTCCTTTCAGCATTCAACAATGATACTGGAAAAATAGAAGAGAAAGCAAACACTATAACTATAAATATAAATGCATATCTTTGTTACCTTTCGACCGCTATAACTTCTGTTGTTTCTATCATAGAATAATATTGATTATTGATCTGCTACAAATTATTTTATGATTTTTAATGTTATAATAGATAAAAAATGACATTGAAAAATGTGTTGAATATAAAGCGTTTTTCAGATTAAAATTCTTCTATTGATAATTTGTCTAATTTACATTCGCCGTCTCTGTCAACTCTCATAAAGACGTATGAAAGATCTAGTCTACATTCTTTTCTGATTATCATACAATGGATAATCTGAATCTTTGTTAGAAGTTAAACATTATAGAACTTACCACACGGTGCTCAGATCAAATTTTTTAATCTTAAAAACTATCTGAAAAAATTGACAAAAAACAGTAAAGTCACATCAGAACAAAGTTTGTTTTTCATTTAGAAGGCAGTAAGAGATACCTTAGCAGAAATTGTTTTTGAAAGAAGTCTAGTCTGGTATGTTTTCAGATTTGTGGAAATCAATGGATTCGTATGAAAAGATCTGTTTTCAAAATTTATTAGAACAAATGTATGGTGAATCTGTTTGTGTCCAACATATAGAACAACAATCTGATGGAGAACAAGGAGCATCCGGTTGTGAAGTTCGCTATTACAAAGTGCATTTCACACGAGGCACGAGACATTTAGAAACCAAGCAAATGATTAGCAAGGAAGCAAGTTTACTTGAAAGACAAGTCCTTGCGCTATTATGTGAGCAAAAACAAGCTGTTCCACCAACACTGATACCTAATCTTTTATCTGAAAAAAGCCACTTTTATCAACAATATGCGGACACACAAATAGAAGGACATGGCCCATTTGATCCTATTACTAAGGCTTATGCTCATGCTTTAGCTCGCATTCATTATATGAATCTTGGTCAACATCCAGAGTGGTTACGATCAGCAACCGAAAATTTCGAAGATCGTTTATGGCTACGAGCATGGCGCAAAGAATGGCATCTAAATTTGACCATACCAAGATTTGCTCTTGAATATGGCTGCTATACAGATAGTTTAGATGATTCATTGTCACGGCTGCTAGTTTTTCTTCATGAGCGTACTACCGAAGGTACCTCATTAACACTGATTAATACAGATCTTATACCAAACGATATTCGTAGTATTGATGGACGTCCAATGTTTATCGATTGGGACCAAGCAGCATATGGTTGTTTTTATTTGGATTTACCAAACTATTTTTCTATTGAAACAGTCCTTTGTTATCGAGATGCTCTCGCTGAGCTCGGTCTGAATATCCATCCAGCTTTATTTATGGATAGATTTCATGAAGTAGGCCGGTATATGGGCTTACGATATCTTGAAGTAGGACTACAGGCTTGGCGTCGTCATTATAATGAAACAATGGAACAAAATAATGATGCACTTCAGCAAGAGAAAAAATCGACTGATGACAATGAATGGAATTTGCAGTATTGGTTCTTTCATTATTGTCTTGAACTAGCTCTCAACGGTAGATAGCATAGTGCACAGTCGTTACCAAGGACCTTTATAAAAGCTTTGTGTTATTGCTTATTGCAAAATAAATTTGTTTTATAGCTGAATGTGAAAAAAAGGTGGTATGTTCAGATTTCCAAAAAAGGAAATTACAGAAATTTCCAATAACATGTAAACTCATAGAAAAGTATTCTTGAAAATTTGGAAGTTTAAAGAAATTCCGGAAATTTTAGAAATTGTGGAAATTTCCGAAAGTGCAAGACATGAAAATTTTGGAAATTTCAGAAATTACAAAATTTTTCGATGCAACGGAACTTTCAGAGGTATCACTTCCAAAATTTGCAAAATTTCCATAATTTATTTTTTTTGAAAATCTGAACACTGCTGTTAAATAAATGAAGTATGAAAAGAATTTTTTATGTTAATGTATAATTTAATTTTAATACTTTAATTTTAGATGGAAAATTATCTTTTTTATCTACCGCTCACGACCGATATCGTGAATGTTTTCGATTTGATTGGCAAGTTTTGATATCTGTTTATCACTGGGTAATGCTAGGAAAGGAGTTTCTAGTTGTTAATGAAAATATAGTAAGATATTTGGTTTTTTACTGTACATGTTTCGTCTAGTTTTTTCTTAACGTTCTGAAATTTTTACGTACGAGAAAAATATGAATGAGAAGATCAACATTCAGTATCAACACAAAAAAACAAATATTATTTTATGCCGTAGTTTAAAAAAATTGATAATTCTTTTTTGATAACATCTTAAGTAAGAATGTAATAAGCTCCATTTTTGAATTACTATATTTTTAATTATTAGATTTACCCGCATTTTAATCATTCATTTTCTGTATTAGTGGACCATCAAGTCAAAGGAAAAGAGTAACATGGCCATCATATATTCATGTCTCATTTTTTTGAGATTTTCCTTTTTTCAGTAAAGTGGACAATTTACAGGAATACATCGATTTATTAATTTATAAAGTTGATGCAGTACTTCAATATAAACCTATAGATCAAACAACATTCAAGTCCAAATCGTCAACAACAAAACGAGGGTATCGGTGTAGATATGAAATGATAATCCACACCCACACTCATCGCATACCCACACACTCACACATCCACACCCACATCCACACCCACCCCGATCTTCTCATTAATCGTCGAAGATTATATTGATGACATCTCAGGTTTTTTTAGCTTACATTCAAACATCTATGGAAGTGTATTATTGAAGAATGGCAAAATATTTTGAAAAAAGAACTCTTTATCAGGAGCATGCTGAGCATCCTTATGACGTGTATGACAAATGAACATGTGCAATTTGCCTTGTTCGCGCAATGTCCGCATTCCGATGAGATCTTCTGTGAATTGACGCGATTGATTCCATGTTTCAGGTTCCAACGAGTTCGATGCATAGCCCAGAAACCAACCTGATTGTGGTGGTGTTATTGTTTCATCTATGTCTGAATAAGTCATAACAAATGCGTTGAGCTTGAGCATATTCGTACGATAGGTTTCATTGCGAACTTCACGTTCATTATTAATGTCAGGAAGAAAATGACTTCGTTTTGTGTATTTCTCCAGTTGAAAAGGATCGCGCCAGAAGCCTGCAACACTAATCACATTTTGAATGGACTCTTCATATGCGTATTTTGAAACTAATTCCCAAAATTGGCGAGGAAGTAACTTAAGAGACGGATCACCGAAAACGCCTTGATGAGCACCAACCAGAGTGATCAAATTGTAGACAGGTAGGGAACATCGTTCGACGGCTCCTCTCACAATCAAACTACCTTGTGAAACGCCAAGCATGTTGAAGCCTTCACGTAGATGTTCATCAGCGAGAACAGTGGCGCAAAAGAGTTCAACTTGTTTGTTCATTGGTAATAAAAAAGAATCTTCAAATCCATTGCCAATCTCGATCGAAACAACATAGATACCCGGAAATGATGCAGTAAGCCAACTACCGAGCTCATTCATGTCAGCAGCTGTCGTCGTAACACCATGCATCAATACTACGGGTCGGTATATAGCCGCATAAGTCGCGTTGGTAAGAAGAGCTATGATAAACAGAAGGAGACCCATTTTTACTCTAGCGAAAAATGAAGTAAATCATGCTTTTTGTAGAGAATAATGATAGACACCTGTTAGTTCTCATTCATATATCTTTCATATGAAAACTGTCGATAGCTATTGTGTGCCATACAAGTGGAAGGACTATTCATATCTGTGATGGTATCTCTCGACCAAAAAAAAGAAAGCCAACGTTGGAATAGATGTGACTATTCTTGGAATCAATCTTCTCTCAAGGACATTTCAATGTGCTCTGTAACGTTGAACCGAATTACATAGTTGGAAAGCTATGTGACTTACTGAAGAACTCCTTATATAATTATTCTCAGCTGCTTTATTTGCTACTTAATAGTATGATAAACCAATAAAAATGACGAAAGCTTTATCTGTCGACGCTTATTTATACTCTTTCTCTTTGACGTGTAGTCAATCGACAAGATCCTATTTGACGCAAGTGAATAGGCATGATATCGTCTGTGATTCATACAATGTACTCAATGCTTGACCATGTAATGTCAAGCATTAAGACAAGATGGGTGTTTATGTGGACCCTTTCTATTGATGCCGACATCTGCACTCTTTGTTACACGATGCTAAAAATAGAAGTGATCAGCTCATTCAGTTTCTCGTTTTTCTGATCTCAGTTCTGCAAAGGGCGGGGGCGCATAAGATAGGGAATCGGCCCATTGGTGTTTTCCTAGACTACACCCATTGAATCATATACTAACCGAGAGAGTAAAGTGAGACTAACGTTTTGGTGCTAAATTCATGAAGTTTTAATCGAATTTCGAAAGCTATAAGCTATCAACAAAATTACTCATTTTTTATCATTTATCCATATCTTTCAATGAATATTTCAATGCAAAAGTTGAAGGTACCAAAATTCTCATTTAGCTCATTCGATAGCGCTTTTCAAGAGCTACAATTCTATTATATTTTCAATTAAAAAAAACCTTGGCCCATGGTACATCATAGGACCACAATGGTTATCATATACCTTTTTTTTCATTGTCTGTAATGTTTCGATAAATACTTGATTAGAAAAATTAAAGGTACCAAAATTCTCATATATACCATTTGATAGATCTTTTCAAGAGCTACAATTCTATTATATTTTCAATTAAAAAAAATCTTGGCCCATGGTACATCATAGGTCCACAATGGTTATCATATGCTCTTTTTTCATTGTCTATGATGTTTCAATAAATACTTGATTAGAAAAATTAAAGGTACCAAAATTCTCATATATACCATTTGATAGATCTTTTCAAGAGCTACAATTCTATTATATTTTCAATTAAAAAAACCTTGGCCCATGGTACATCATAGGACCATAATAGTTATTATGTACTCTACCTATGGCATTTTTGAAGATTTTTTTATTTAATTTTCTCAACTATCATAGACATTTTAGTTTTTATCTATTAGTTTGATATAGATTTATACTCGTACGTAAGATTTAAAGTATTCTAAAAATTTTCAAACATATATCTAAATGCACTGTGACATATTATAGGTTCTATGAATATCATCAGTATATAGTAATGTCTCACAACTATATATTTTTCACACTTTTTATTAAAAAAACATTTCATAACTGTTGATAATATAAGAAAACCTATTTTTAAAAATGTTTAGCTAGTAGGAACAATGTTAAGTGATATAAATCAGATGAATTTAACTGATTTTAGAACATGTGATTTTATTGAAATGAATGAGTATATGAGACTTATCCAATTTAAATATAATATTTTTTGTTTTTCTTTTATATAACAAATTATGCATTCTATAATAGAGTATCTTGGTATTAAAATTTTATATCTTAACCTATAATTAATCATCTTTATATCTAATGTACTGATTTTCCAATAATCTAAGCGATATGTTTTAATTATAGTTGAATAATATCAAAAAAAATCTTTTTATATCATGTAGAAATCAATAGTTGATAAATATGGGTGTAAAATAGTCAGATGAGATGACCCAGACAGACTTGATATTACCATTCTATAGTCACCAGTATGCGGAACCCTAGATGAAGAAAGAATGGAAGAAAAAAAAAGAAGTGGATAGTTCAACCGTTCATTTTCTCGTTTGATTATATACATAAAACATGCCTCATACATCACGTCCTAAATGTGTTGATTGTGAACGAGGCCTCGATTCAAATCAACTTCGTGAAGTTGGTGCTGGACTTTTGCGCTTGTTTTTGGCTGTAAGATTGTCGAAGCGTATTCGTTGTGATGATATGATTTG